TCCCTTCTGCGTGTCCATTAATGTACGGTTTTGGGACGTGATAAAATACCTCGACTGGTACATATATCGCAACTTCTATGGCCAGGTGGTCTGATGTAGCTATTGTAATATCTGGCGAGCTGTAGCAGTCACCCGCAACCCAGGTGTTGGCATCGTCGTTTACAGTCCAGAAGGTTCACAGCACTAAAACCCACTGCTACTGTGAGGTATTACTTCGCGGAGGGGAGCGGCCTATAGCCGTTTTTCTATGAAAAACTGCGGAGTTGTTCCTCCAGACGCAATTAAGTTCAAATTGTGTTTGCCAAAATGCAAACAACAGACCAGTTTTCTTCCGACTCAAGCATAGCATCCACAAGGTTATTAACCGCAAGTGTCCACCCCACCTTCATGCTCGACTTATCCCTTCGATTGCAAAACAGCGGGCAGACAATCAAACAGTGTTAAGTGTCTCCAGTACTATCCTTTGTGATTGTCTTAATGCTTAAATGGGTTCAAATAAATATGATTTCAAGCAACCATTCCCCGTAAATATTTTAAATAATAGATTGGTACTAACACATATGTTAGTGTTTGGCCGAGCTTCTCCTCCGACTTGCGGCGTGCGCCTTGATGTTGTCACACAAAGCGGAGGGACCTACAGTTTTACGCCGACTCCGAACGGCGATTGCATTTTTATGAGAAGCTGTTTTTCATGGCAGAAATACACTTGGAGATTTGCCATTGCCTGCCGAGGGACGACCACTGTTCTGTATTTTTTTGTGATGTTGCTTTGACCAGGGTTTGAACCCAGGTACTGGTGAGTGAAATTGCGCACTGCTTACCACTACACCACAGCAGCCGACGTAAATATTTTGGTCAAGTGGAAATCCACTTCCTATGTTGACTACTTACCCAACTTGATATCTAGGGTATCCGGAGGAACGAGACTATCGTAGCTTTTACGTTCATCTGCTCCATTGTACCCAAATTTCGGTGCACGAATAGTTATCTTAGACCTATGGCGCTCAGCTTTGGCGGTTGGAACGGTCTAGATTCCAATCCGCGTCTACGCTTCGGTTGCAGGAATTTCAAAGCCCCACTGTTTCGGCGATTGGATAGGTCAGGGTTGCAATCCGTTCCTATCAGGCTAGTACAGACACTGCAGTACCATCTGTCCTGGTGAATGCCCTGGGTTGCGTGCTGGAAGATGGTCTACTGGTTGATGGTGGGGCGGGTGTTGAATGTGTGGAGTGACGGATATGTTATTGGTTGTTGCAGCACGATGAAACAAAGTTGGCACTCCACTCCCTTTCGTGTCGGAGACCAGAGCCTGCCTTAAGGTGGCACCAGTTGCGATGGACAACAAAATACTGAGCAATTTTGGTCCGGTTTTGCTTATATTTTTAAAAAAATTTTATGTATTGGAAAATTATCCTGTTCTTAGATATACATATAATAATTTTAATTCCAGTTCCATTTTTAATAAAATATGTTTAGATTTTGGTATATAAATAAACTACGTGGATTCCGATTTACTCGGTATTTGAAAAATCAAGATAAAAAAATGCATAAAGATATTGAAAATCACCCGAATCAAACACTCTAGTCCGGAGGCTTTTTCAAGGTAAAAGATGAAATATATATCGCTAGTTTAGAGTGAAAAGTTGCTAAGTCCATAGCCATTTTCTTCAAGAGAAAACTTCATACGAATGAGAAGGGTATGCTAAGTAAAAGATTTCGAATTTTTTTCGAGTTTATCGAATTTTCTATGCCTTTTTTGGACATTGAATATGCCTTTCATTGAATATAAACAGGAAGAAATAAAACTACCTAACCATATCAAAATATGAGTTATGGACTTAGCAGATTTTCACTCTAAAATAGCGATATACATAAATACATAAATGTAGGAATGGCCTTCCCAATCCTCTTAGTCTTTAATTAAAACGCG